GGGCCTTTAGTCGCGGTTCTTAAGCAACCGCGACTAAAGGGGGGGGGGGCCTTTAGTCGCGCCCGTTCGGTCGCGGTTGCGCAACCGCGACTAATGGCAGTTGCGAACCGCGACCAAAGGCCCTTTTTCCACCAGTGCATGTGTGTGCCAGTTTATCTTATGAACTTTATTGCACTTGGATAATCAACTTTGAGATAATCAATAAAAGGCAGCGTGCATCGCGATGCAGACGCCGGAAGGGCTACCATCTTTTTGTAAGAAGAAAAAATCAAGATTATCAAGGTTTCATCTAGTAATTAAGAGAAACCGCCGGCCAGTGCTGCTGATTGACATTGAGGTACCAACCGATGATCACTGTTTATGTGGGTATGATGAGCGACGGATCGAGCCGTTTCAATTCTAAAAGTATAGACGATGTGCCTAGTTAACCAACCGAGAAAGTGACCATCAATTAACCAACTAAATGATTTCAAAAGATGAACATAACCGGGCTGCAATTCGTACTAATACTTATTGTTTAAGGATCATGAGCTAATCTATAGAGACAAATTAAGAAGGCAGATAATCAGCGATGTCCATCCGTGAGACAAAGAGGAGGAAAGGATATGCACCCGTCAAATCAAATCAATAGCTAGGTAGCTGATTAGTTTTTTTTAGCATTAGTACAGACACAAGCGCTCATATACACACGCATACACTCATTCCTATGAACGCACACACGCACACCCTACCCCTATGAGCACCTCCAAGTGACTGAGCCGGCATATCATCTTAAGATTTACGAAGCCATCGTAGGCGCCTCGTCGTCGACGGGAACGTCTCCTCCCACTGAAAGCGCATCGCCGGAAATCCTGAAATAAATTCAGGAATAATGCTATCACCAGGATTTGAATCCTGGTGGGTTGGGGATACCACTGTCCATCTAACCATCTCAACCACAGGTTGATTCGCAGGTAGCTGATTAGTTGTTGGGTATGGAGATAAGAGTCTCGTACAGCCACATAAATTAGATTACAAAAGCTGGAGAGAGTGGACGTTGGAGAACATGCGAGAGATATGGTGGATCAAGTCCTGTCTGTATGTCACCGCAAGTTGCCAAGTTGTTGTAGTCGTCGTCTATCCGGCTGATGCACGCTCGTCCAAAACTGAACTTTTCGTGCATTAAAGAGGCACCGGCCGGCAGGCCAGCGTTTTTGGCCGCAATCATACAACAGTCGTTTATATACATTTTGGTTGACGGTTGAAGAATTGCAGTAGTGCTAGTGCTCAATCATGCATCCTCCCAACCACCATGTGCGTCACGACTTAATCGTTATTTTTTCTGTAGTCTCTCTCACGAGTAATGAGCTTTTTGAGTTTTTGCATAATAATGGACAACTTCAACTATGAGTTTTTTTTTCGTATAATAGGACTAGACCCCCTAGAATCTTAGCGAAATGATACGTGGCATGGAAATTTTTTGCGAGAACACGAAATAGAAATCCTAAATGCTCGTCAATATGATATTGCATGATATATTGGGGGTATATATATTTCAAAATTCACCACCCATGCAATAATACGGCTTATATCTGATTAATAATTTCAAATTCTCGGTCTAACTTTTCTTTTTTCTTTACCCTCTTGCAAGGCGACTAGGCAAAGCCTTCCTCCCCTTGATCTCTACCGGCGAGCTCGTGGAATCGCCTTCCCTCCGCTTGTCGCTCGGGCGGTGGCGGGGAAGGGATTTCTCGTGCCTTGTCTCCGGCTAGTAGATGTGTAGGGTTTTAGTTCTCGCAGTGGCGGTGTTTGGACGGATGGCGGCACTTCTTCTTCGAGTCAGTATTCTGAGCTCCGATCCTCCTCAAGTTCGTTCACTGGGATGAATTAGACGGAGGTCCGGCGTAGATTCCTGCCCACTCCTCGGGGCGGCGAGGTTAGCGTTTCTCGCCATGTGCACGCAAATACGGTATTTGGTGTCAAATTTTCAGATCGAGTCAAGGATTCAACGGCAATGACTGCGGCTCCGGGACGTTGTTCCTTAGCGGCATGTGCACGAAGACTTTATGGTTGTCGTCAACAAGGTCAGGCCGGCTTCGGTATAGGAGCGGCGATAGTGGCGCGTCCGCGACTCGTTCTCGCGGTGGCAATGCTCGTTCGGTGGTCCATGGACCTTGATGTAATTTTTATTATGTTTGAGGTGTTTTCTATTTCCGTTGAATCTTTATTTTAGATCTGATCTTTTCGGGAAAAAAAAAGAATCTCAGTCTAGATACGGACGGCTAAATGCAGCACCGCGAAATGAAT